AGTGATAATTTTCATTTCATTTCCACGAATCGCTCGACTGAAGCGGGAAAAAATCAACATTTTTTTTTCCTGAAATTGCTGTTGTTGAACTGGTTTTTGTGTGTGGTGCTGCACTGTTATCGGTGTTTGTGATTGCTCATCCGAATTTTCTTTTTTGTCTTTGCAGACGGGGTTTCTATTGGCACCTATCTAAAAGATGCAGTAGAAATGTTTTTTTTTTTTACAATGAGGAAAGAAAGCTGAGATAACAGAGGAAATTCACTCCCCCTCCCCCCCTCCGCCCTCGTCGTGTTGTGGAAAAAAAATGTAATAAAATCACTGAAATCTCTGTTTGCCCCTTTGATTTCGCTTATCCTTAATATTTTTAATTTCTTCCATTCGCTTTCTCATATTTTGGAAGCAAATTTGCAAAAATTCTTAATTTATTTCCGGCTTCACTTCTTATCTATTGCGATATTACTTGTTGATCTGCCTTTTTTTATTGCTTCTCATTTAATTGAGAATATTTTTGTCTTTCCCAGCCATGCTCTTGGACTCTCAAAAATGCGATTTTTGACTTATTTGGTATAGAAAAGTCCCTCATTTTTGAGGAACAGGATGTAAGTGCGGAACAGAGTTGTCCGATTTTCGGTTGAAGGTATTTTTTTTAGGAAAATATTCATTGCTTTCCAAATTTATGCTGTACTGGAGAGGATGGGGACAATGAGTTGTGTGCTAGAAATTGGTTGTAAAATTTGACAGTTTGGAAGTGGAGAAGAGGGAAATCTATTTCATAAATAGCGATTTTTTAATAAAATCACGAAAAGTAGGAGTGTTCTCATTTTATTTTCAAAATTCCCAAAGATTTTTTTTTTTGATGGAATATATGATCGTTCTCCAAGAATAGAAAGTTTTGCTCTCCTTTATTATTGCTTTTTCAGTCGCGCTGGTGCAATAATTTCACTGAATAAAGTGTTTTTATAATATTTTATGCCTCAATACAGATGAATGTGTTCTTTTTACACATACACACTTTATTTGCTGTTGAGCGGATTTTACACATTTCTCTGAACGGGATCTTGGGAAAATCTTTTTCGGCCAGTTCACTGCATATTTATTACTTTTTGCATGCACCATTTTATCCTCCTATCTTCTCTCATCTCATTGTGTGCTGCTTAAAACTCTCTTTCGTTCGAGTCTCGTCAAAAAATAACCTCTTCCTCTGTAAGGCGGATGAAGGGCTGTACTGATGATTCCCATTCCAATTTTATAGCTGAAAGATGTCTGTTTTATGGCTGAAGGACGATGCACAGACTGCGGATTTGCATTTTCATTCGGGCATGTATTATAAGTTCTATCTTTACCGGTTTTTTAAAATTATTTTTTTTTTTTTTTTGGATTTTATCATTGCTCCAAAAAATGCCATTTTACCTCGGCGTGAAATTTCATGTTACCGGTAGTACAACTGATTAATTGTAGTGACATAATTCCCTTATGAAGTTGCTGTGATAGTTGCATTGGAAATATGCTAGTTAGATTGCTCGGATAATCGGTGCAAGGATCCAATATCATCACCAATATGGGATTTCCAGACCGATTGACTAGGCGCCGTTGGTAATCTTAGTCGTCATGGATCTCGCAGCTATGGTAATCTTTATTCCAATTAAGCCAAATGCATGTTGTTTCTAGCTTTTTTCTTGGTTGAATTTAATTTTTATGCGGAAGCAGTGGGTTTTTTTGAGCTCCACAATTGTTAAGTTAATAGCAGGTTTAGTTATGGTCCTGAGTTAAGAAACGTGCAAATTTGATAGGCCGAAACGTCATAATCCCAGTTAAATCGTTGTTTTATGTTTAATTATATGCTGTAGATTGTTAATTACTATTATTTTATGCTGTAGATTATGGTTATTATTACTATTATTTCTCAAGCTAGAGGTTATTTGAATCATTATTTTATGCTGTAGATCTGAATCCTTGGTATTTCCAGTGTATTCTACTGTTAGCTGATACTTGCTGCTTAAGGCAATTGTGTTTAGGCTTAATAATTAATTTTTCAGTTGGTATTAAATTATTGAGCCGGAAAAAAATACCTGCATCCTGTTTTGCTAATTCTTCATATAGCATAGAATTTTGTGTTTAGCCATCAAAAATTTGGGCAAATTTCCGGATTTATGCTGAATGAGGTACCATATGCAATTTGCCAGTTGCGGTAGTTGTTCAAATTATAAAAACAGGTTTTTTGCTTTCAGCGTTCATCATTTGACATCATCGCTCGCCTTGTACTAGTTGTTACTTTGGTACACCCAGGAATTTATTACTTTCATCAACAGCAATAATAATGAGTCTTGAGGCCTTTTGCCTTGGAATTATATATTTTAAGCATTCTTTTTGAGGATGACTTCTTTCTGTTCAAGCAGCAGCTGCTCTAGTAGTATTATTATTGTGTGCTTTTCTCTACACTCTGCAATTTCAATCTTTACGAATTTGCAAAGATTTTACTCTTCATATGTGGTGGACAGCTGTTTTGCCACACCTGCCACCCCACATCCACACCTGGGCTCTTCTCACTCATAACAACAACATTATGAGCCACACCCGCTGGTCATCGTTCAGTCCGGTAAGCATAGACGAATCCAGGATGAACTCCTGGGAAGGAGGACGACGGAGGTGAGGGATAGTGAGACTCATAGAAGTGGGAAAGGGAGCGGGGAGGGAGCAACGGAGGATGAGGGGGAGAGTCCTCCTCTAAAACTTTGCAAAAACTAGGAATAGAGCTGCAACACTGCTACTTAGAGAGTTACTTTAGGCTTTAGTTTACTTTAATTTTAGCTTTGGACCCGGACTTTTGCTGCACTGGTGCCTATGCCGGTAAGGTTCTTCCACGTTGTGTGAATCGCTAAAAAATCGAGGAATGACGGAAAAGGTGACAGGAAGAAGGGGGTCGTGGGCTAAGGAG